TTGTGCAAATCATTGCTAGGCACAATGTAATGCTATAAACTATTAACAATGCAAAATCCTTTGTTAATAATAAATAAATCAGATGAGCTCCCACAAGTGACACATTTTTGTTTGGAAACACCAGAGGGCACAATTAAATGCCATCCATTAACACAAAGAACTGTCAGAGGTCTCAGCTGCTGTCTAAAAATGTTGACAAGGCTGCAATAAAAAAAAAAAAAAAACATACTTGTCCTACTTTAGACCTCTAAAAGCAGTGTGTGTGTGTGTGCAGATGTTTATGCAGGGATTTGTGGCCCATTGTTAGCAGAATCCTGTGTCAATGAATTCGGACATTTGTTCTATTCTTTTTGCACTCTGCACCAAAACCAATTTTGTTCAGTGATAGTTTGTTTTTTATTTTCCTTGTGCTGTTACCTTGTAGTGGAAAAGCCTGTGTCTTCCAAAGATCTTGAGAGCTACTGTGTGCTGATGGGAGTTTTTGCTCAGAAGAGGATTAAGTTAGTTTTCCTTCTATATTTATAACAAATATTCTGACTGTATTGTTACAGTACAACTCTAACGATGACTACTGCAAAAGGCCGGATCATTGGACAATAATCCAGCCACTGAAAGCTTAGAGAACCACAAAGAACGTCAGATGAGACAGGCTTTAATATCTGTGGAGCGATAATGGCTGCATTTTGAAATCGAACACAGTAATTCTTCCTTCAAAGTAGTGTAACACCTCTATTTTGCGGAAGACACAACACTTACCTTTTCGCACAGTCTGGAAATGATTTTGGAAATGAAGTTGTTTCGAAAGTAACATGCAATTCTTGCTTGGCCACGTCTACAAAAATACTTTCTTGCTTGCATAAGAGCTTACCAGGACAGATTCAGCAGATAGTTGTAAATTGACTGAATCCAATTCACGGAATAGAGCACGGCTAGAACATACCCTGCAGAAACTCTGACACAATAACAACACCATAACCACATTACTTCGTAATAGCGCTTTAATGGTGAGACAGTGACAAATTCACCCACTGTCACCGTTCACTTTGTCTTTTTTACATCTTTGTGTCTCTATCAGCCACCTCAGTGTTCAGTCACTTTCTCTATTTCTATTTAGTCATCCACTATACATCTTCTTATTTAAAGTACAAAAATAACCAACAGAAACAGCTTTTTGGTCACTAGGTAGAAGACGCCTTGTGATGTGATCTAAGAAGTCATAAAAATGGTGCAATACATATATAATAATGACTAGGAAAACAGAATGGGATTTTATAGATTTCCTTTTCCCTTGAGGTTCACTTTGCAACCACCACAACATACAACAGCAAGTTATTCAATAAAATCAGGTACCAATCAATTAATCAATTGGTCTTTTGTTTTGCAGAATGCATCCAATTTATTTTTCCCCATTTCGGCATCCAAAGCCCAAATTACTTACCTTGCACATTCCCTCTTCTCTGGGCAACGGTTCAACCTGTGGCTTATGGGCTATTAAGTGACCAACTGAGCGAGGCAGGGGGGCCTGGCACCTGGGCCGACCCGCACCATCAGCCAATTGATGCATGTGTCGCTCGGAACATAGAGCATTGACAGCTGACCAGATAGGGCCGTTAATGATCGCCAGGAAGAAGCACAGAGAAGACCCTAATCGAACTTGACCAAGCGAGGGGGGAATGTTTGCCTGTTACCTGTCTGTGTGACCTTGTGTCAGTCTGTCTGTGTGGGTCACCCATCTAATTACATGCACCCACTCTGTTGCCTCTAGCCTCTAGAATTATGAGGTAGGGAAAACAACAGATTAGGGTAGCCCAGTTTGGCCTCACTGGGTCATTGAGTAAACAGCCTGGTTTGTCTTCAGGAGCAGGTTTCCAGACTCCACCTAGCAAAGTTCCTTGTAGAATAGTGACATAATCTTGTTGTTGGGTGGATTTTATATAAATGATTTACGTGAAAATACCTGGGTTGTGATTCAGTTTATACATAAACATTTTTTTCAAATATGGATGCAGCATTTTCTGGACATCTGCCTCAGTACAAATAAAAACCCAAGTTTACAATCTGTATAACACATATTGTCCAACTTAACACTACAGAGCTCCTCCCTAGTGATTTTTTAAAATTCCAGCTGCTAAAGTTTGGTGTTTATAAGATCTTGTTCTTTGTCCAGCTTTGTTGAATATGTAATCATACATTACTGCATCCATGCAATTTCCAACAAAAAGTGCAAAAAATTGACTGTATCAAATAAATGTGGTACTGGCAAAGCTTCCAAAGTCAAAGTCAAAGTCAAGTCAGCTTTATTGTCAATTACTTCACATGCACCAGACATATAAGGTAATCGAGAGGACGTTTCTCACTCTCCCACGATGAAACAGATAGCACAGGCACAACAGACAAGACATATTCCTCCTCTTCTAGCTGATGTCTTCCAGTTTGGCAGTAAAGATCTACCAGTGCCCTAATATGAAAAATGCATTTTTTTGTGAAGACATCCAGGGCATAATGAGTAACAGCCATAGCTGTGGATTCTTTCACATCTGGCTGATACCCAATCCATCTAAAAAGGTATCAAGAACTGTTTAGTTATACCTCATTCTCAAGCTCATACAGTAAGGGGTATGTTTTGGGAATACATCTGACAACCTGTTGTGGCCAGTACAGCGAGAAAATCTGCCAGGCAGGAGCTGAAGATGATACGGCTATAACGAGAAGAGATGTGGTATGGATTGAAGAGGAAGGAGCAGCGCATAATACTGTGATTTTGTTCCAGGCGCGATGTGTTCCTCTGGCAGCTGAGAACATCTAAATTTAGACACACCCCTCATCTCCCCTTCCTCTTCTCTACATCCTCAGCCCCTCCTCATCCACACTTTCCCCTCCATTGTGCTCTCCTCATCACCACGAACACAGAGACATGAAAGCCCCTGTGGTGAAAATATCGACAGCTCTCCCTGTGTCAGACAAGTGTCTGTGCTTGAGTGCGCCGAGCTGTGTGTGTGTGTGAGTGGAGCAACAGCCATCTCGACCTGATGGGTGCTAAAAACAGGTAATGATACAAGATAATGACAGAGGATTTAGGTGTGTTTGCGTTGGCTCAGTGTCCATTAGTCGTATGGTGACCGTGTCAGAGATGTGAGATGAGAATGTGTATGAAGTAAACACACACATTTTTTTATTTGTTTCTTTTTTTTTTTTTTCCCCCACTGACCAATGCACAGCTGAAAGTGAGACAGATGGTCTTGCTATATTTACTTCATACAATCTTCATTTGAAGCAGTGTGTTTGTTTGTCCGATAGCATAATGTTGCCTGAACTCTATAGCTGAAATAAGTTATTTTCATAATCAGTTAATTTGCCAATAATTTTCTTGTGAAAAATGCTTATTACAAGTTCCCAGAACCCCAACGCACAATGTGACCTCAAATGTCTTGTTTTGTCTGACCAAGAGTCTGAAACCAAAAGATGTTCAGTTTAATGTCACAGAAGAAGAAAAAAGACATATTTGAAAAGCTAGAAGCTTTTGTTTAAGTCGTTTAAACTTAGCAAATGACAAAAGAATAATTTTGACATTGGTACAGAAACTCCTGCTACACAAGCAACAATCCTTGCACATACTGTACAACCACAGAGCGGGCAGACAAGCACAACGACACATGCAGACACTGTTCTGACAAGGTTACAGTTCAATGTACTGGAAAGAGACAGAGTGTACTAAGAGGATGTGGGGAGACAAACAACAGACAGAAGAATGAAGAAATAATTTAACTGCATTTAAATTAGTTGCATCCCTGGCCCCTCTTGGACCTGTGTCTCAGCCTTTACCAAGCCTCGTTATGTGACATGTTTTTCCTGTTTCCCACCAGGAGTGAGTGGTTTGTGTTCAACACCAAGGCGCAAAATGAGAAACACTTTTGTTGTAGCTGCACAATGTCTGTAATTATACCCCACAGGACACATAAGAATATAGCACCGCTATCATTGCCATACAGCCACCATGCATACTAGCTGCTACTGCTGCAAACCCACTTCAGAGTTTAACACACAATGATGCTCACAACAGTGTTGAAGGCTTTCAAAAAGGGCTCATTACAATGATAATACCACAAAAGGTAAAGCCAGTGAGAGCTTGTTGAAAAAGATATTAAAGGTATTATAAGTGAAGCAGTGCCCCACCAAATACCCTTTGGAGTGGATTATGCTAATGTCATTGTGCATACTCTAAAACAATCGCTGTTCTGTTAGACCATCTGTTTAACTGTTTAACTGCAGCAGGAAAGCATTTAAAAAGGCATGTGGAATATTTTGAATTGTTAAAGCCAAGCCAGGAAGGTAAAAAGGTGATTAAATGTCTTTTCTATTAAAAATTCAATCTTCATTTGGAAAGGATTATGATCAGCAGCTTTAAATCTGAACCAAAATTGAAACCAAAGATTGATATCCCCAAACTTTAATAGAACAGAAAGAATAAACAGATAAGAAAAGGGGAAAAGGACAAGGGCAAAGAAAACTAGAAGTAGATAATTAAAATAACACCAAGAGGGAAAAAAGGAAGTAGATGGGGACAAAAGGAGTCACACTGACCTACCTAAAATTGGGTGAATGGTGGAAAAAGGACACACAAAAAAAACATCTTGTGATAGAGAGAATGATGAAAGAAACGGGGGCTAAAAGTTATGTAAAGGAAAAACAGAAATTTAATTTTACTTGTACTAGCAGTGAAACCCACTTAAAACTAAAGGTACCAGATATGTCTAGCTGAATTTTGGGTTAATGTGATGGACATGAAATCGAGTATTTCCCTTTGTTGGAAGGAAAACATGGGGTCTTAAGTTTGAACATTTCCCTTGGTGAGAGCTACCTGATACGATGCAGAAATATGATAAAAGAAATTGGTTTTTTTTTCTAATTTAGAAGGAACTAGAAGGGATTTATATGGCATAAAACAGGGTTCAATCTAAAGAGTTTCCATCCAACAGAAGCATTTCAAACTATAAACTGACCTTGCTGGTTGAGCTGCTGTGTGCTCTTGCTCCACTGCGACAGTCCCACAATGGCCACCATCTTGGCGCCCAGACTGGAGCGCCGCTTCTTGTTGCCAGCCAGCGATGCGGAGTCTGCGCCCCCGCTGCCGGGACTCTTCTCCAGGCTGTACATGGCCCCTGAGATGCTGGAGGATCGCACCACATTCCGGGCCGCCGCACTCAACCCGCTAAGGCCGCTCATCCCGCCTGGGCTGGGCACCTCCACGGAAGTGCTGCTGAGCATCATGGTCCTGCTGGACTTAGGGGCCGGAAAGTTGGAGGAGGGCTGAGGAAGGAAGGTGAAAGAGGGCAGGGAAAAAAAAAGACAATAAGGTGACGGTGGAATAAAGGTGGAAGGTGAGAAAGCAGCTCAAATAAAAGGACGTCTTCATTTGCAGCGCGTGATGAAATACAGAATTATAGCTTGTCTTACAGCTGCAGTGGCTCCCTGAGGCTGAAGGACACCGAGTTTAAATTTCAACCACAGTTTGGTTTTCAATTAAATTCCCCCACTTATTGCAGAGGCAGCAGAAATGACTTCCTACCCCCATAAAAGACAAATAAAAAGTGAGATGCTCCGAAAAGTCTTCTTGATCTCCCATAGTTTTGCAAACTGAGAAAACAAAGAACACAAAGGTCAGCAGACGAGGACAGTGCAGATGGCAGCAGACTGTTCAAGTGAGTTAAGAAATATCTCCAGTCACACACACACACACACACACATACAAATGTCAGGGCTGGCCTGCTGTTGAGGGGTGACCCTGTCAGCTGGTATTTGTCTCGTGTGTTTTTTTGGAATCTCATTCTGTGTCTGACCTTAAACAGTGACAGATGATAAACTCAGCTCAAGTCATCACTGGTTGGCTGAATCCTGGGAGGAAACCAGTGTGTGTGCGTACAGTACCGCCTAACTCTGATAAACCTATGAATATCTAACTGATGCAGAGGTGCAACTCTCATCATAGGCCTTTTTCGTCATTGTAGGAAAAGCACATTACTAATAACTGGCAATAATTGGCAATGGCTCTGTTCTATTCACGTAAACGGTGACAGAGGGCCAGTGCCAACATGAACAATAGCAGGACCCTGAAAATGAAGCAGCTAAATGGAATTCAACCATCATCTTCATAATCAATTATTTACAGCTGTGCTTCTCCTAATGTGACATGTCAAAAATGACAAAAAAACTAACTATTATTATTCAGCATCTCTGTCATGCCATATCTCACTCCTCTACTTTCCTCGTTTCCTTTCCTTTTCTCTCTCCTGGCTTCAGAGGGATTATACTGAGGCTAAACCGACAGCCCAAGGGCACATTAAATATGTAGATGCACTGTGGCCAACATCGTGCTTTCACACTCCTTTTTAATATTTCTCTTTCTTCACTTCATCCACTTCCATATAACTTCTCTCTCCACCTGCTTTCTCACTTGGTTAATCATTACGACCCCTGCTGCAACTTTTTTGTCTTTTTTTTTTTTCGTTACACAGAAAGTACAGCAATGCAGTCTTTTTCTGTCTAAGACAACCTACTTAATAAGTGCCTTGCAAACTTTAGTTGATGACAAAAGTCCTCTTCAGGTTGTTGTTGTTTGTATTCTTCAACACACCAACACACGTTATATGCATCATCATTTAACAAGATGCTAACATCTCTGTGAGGCTGTACTTAGCGGCATAGAGGAGCTATGTGCTCATGACAATTCTAATATGATGATGTTAATCAGGTATAATGTGTACCATATTCACCATCATAGTTTAGTGTGTAAGCATGTTAATATTGGGTCATTAGCATTAGCATGAGTACAGCTGAGGCTAATGGGAATGTCATTTGTTTTTTGGTCATAAACTGAAGTATTGAACAGATTCAAATTTTGATGGCAGGAATGTTACAGGATTCGTAAAGTTATTAGAGTTCATCCTGCCGGGACAGTGAATGTGTGTACTCAATTTAATGGCATATATTATATTATCCGGCACTGACTGCAGGAAAGGGTTCACAAATTCTTTATGCAACTTCAACACTCACTCCCACAACTGGAAATTATAAACAACACATATTCAGTACAGTGAATTTGTCCTTCATACATCTTTAGAATTGAAGACCCAAATGTAAATGCCCTATGCTTCCGTAAATCAGCATCATTGCCCTGCCGTGTGACGCCACCACAACCATGATGCTTACATCCAAAAAAATGTTGCTGACCAGCACTTTTTGCAGGAATGTATTCAGCATTACCACAATAACTGAAGTGGATGCTATTGAGGAACAATGAATGGATGTAGCAAAGGGCAAAGTTTGGCATTTTGTAATGAAACTGATAATAGCAACCAAGTAGGAGGTGGAAGATTGCATGCTTTGTACAGGGCTACTGCAGTGACATTTGTTATGACTGGAAAAGGGTACTGAGGGGAAAGAAAGAGGGAGAGAGGGGAGTTACGGGTTTAAAATCTGAAATTCAGGTGAGCCTATATGCCCTTATTTTCTTCCCCTCTTTTTCCCCCCTCCCTCTCTTCCCTCCTAACCCGCTCTTTTCTATTCCAGCCCATGCGCACTTCTCTTCAGCTCTCTGGGGGGGCCTCTGTATACTTTGAACACACAGCAAGCAGAGCAGGAGAAAATGAGGATAAGGGAGGGTTGGAGAAGGCTGCTGAGAGAAGGGAGATAAACAGAATAGCTCTGTTTTCAGTGAGGACAGAGGGGAAGTGAGGGAAGACGGAGGACAGAGAAAGAAATGTGGGAGGAGAGGATGCTTCATAATGAATGGACAGAGAAAAGCACTGCAGGAAGCTGGGGCCTGATCTGTGAGAAATAATGGACTGAAAAGCAAGAGAAGGAGAAGAATATGACACTGATAGTGGCAATGACAGACATGCATCCATTCCTACATTTGTCTCAATGATGAGATCCTCAGTCTGTGCGTCTGTCTCTATATGAAGACATGCTCCAAAGTGAAACAGGGTGAATTTTTGTGTATTGTATATAGTATACTGTATATATGGGTTATATCTACACTGTCATGTGACATTGGTTACTGTGTTGGTTTCCTATCCACAGAGCCAAAGTTTCCTGCTTATTTATGAGATTGTGAGATTCTGGCTCGCCTGGCTCTGTCGGTAGGTAACAAAGTCAGTCTACCGGCACCTCTGGTTGTCTTCTTGTTTTTACCCTTTGATTTTAGCACAGATTAAATAAACGAGGCAAGCACATTAATTAGTGAGCTTTGGAGTTGCTGGCACACAAACATTTTTTCTTATCTTTGGATAGAACAGCCCCCTTCAGTCTTTATGCTAAGCTAAGTTAACCATCTCCTGGATCCAGAGAAAATTCACATGAATGATTTTTGTAATAGTCATTTTTGAATCCACTGACAAGTCACCTATTTTGTTGCAGTTAAGAAATTCTCGGCTCAAGGTCTATTTACTTGGTTTTGATCGATAAACATCCATCCAAGAGAGAAACCATGACTAAATTGCCCTTATACTGAACATATTTTGCGGTTTACTGCAGGTATGAGCACATGTCAGAAGGGGCTAGTGTTGAATTTATTTTCCATTTTCGAAGTATCTATTCTTGAGTCAGTCGAGGAAAATGTTGAGACGCTGTTTTGGGATTACTTTGTGTGTGCTTTATTCTCTGTTCTCCATTTTTAAGGAGTTTGTTATCTTGTGAACTCCATAGCTTATAAGAAATGAAAAAAAATGTAATGGTGGGACATGGAGCACTTTTTTTTTTTTTTTTAAACCACAAATGCATTTTGGTGTTTTTTTATCTCTTGTATCTGCAGTTGAAGATGCCACCATGTACCTGTCCCCACACAGTGTTTTGCCTGACCTAAAGGTACGACTGGAGCCCATCTATCTTCATCTCAGTGCCAGACAGCTCCCCTGCCATATGTCTCTGTGCTCTCTTAACATCTCATCTCAGAGCTCATTTATTTCTCCTCCCATCAGCAAACCAACCGCCTCCACCCAGCCTGGTGGCTATCAGCTCCTCCTCTGCACCTTGATTCCACCCGTCTCCGCCCCACACCGACCCCTGCTATGCGAGATCTGCTAATTTGTCTTACACCGAGCCTACACTGGAGATGTAGCGTGATCAGCGCGTTAGCAGAGTAGCGGCTTCAGTTCTCCATGTGCTCACAGTAGGTCACTTGAGTTTCTGCAGCACTTAAAGCTCCTGTAGCTATGTGCATAAAACCACAAAAATAGACACGAAGCATTAAAATATGCTTCAGGTTGCATTTACTGAAAAAAGGCTGCATTCACTGAAAAAAGGCTGCATTCTGTGTAGACACGCTGTTTGCCCAGAGATTTGAGGGCAAGCAAAAAAAAAAAAAAACACTTTCTTTAGCTTCAAGAAGATGCACAGAAGAACATGAATGTGTCATTTATAGTGTGCAGATTCAACAAATATGATAAAATGTGATAAGAGTTGTTTTTTGGGTTGTTTTCTTGCAGGTAAGAGGATTTTTTAATTTGTTTCCAGTTTTTGTGCTAAGCTAAGCCGCTGCTGGCTGAGCTTGATATTGATCCGACAATGTGAGAATGGAATCTGTCCTCTCATGTAACTCTCTATAAGAAAGCAGCATATTTTTCCCAAATTGTGCTTTTCTTTAACACTTCAATGATTATTTTTGGTAGATATCAATATTTCACAGATTGAGTCTTCCCTTATTTCAAATTATACCAACTGTCTAACAGAACACTCTATTGGCAGAGCTACAGTGTAGAAAATAAGAAACTTCAGTGTGATTCAACTACCGAATACTGTATGTTGTCAGTGTTAGCCGATGCAGAGAAGCAAAGTGTAAAAATGTTTTAGTTTCTCCCATAGACACAAATGCCACAACCTTGTAATTAGATATAACTGAGCGATTCATTAATGGTCTCTTTAAAGCTGCTCTCTAGTATGCAGGCCACACAGCCACTGCCGCTCAGTTAATTAACCTACAATTTAGCTGCAAAGTACATGGTAAAGATATCCTGTAGGTCTGAGTCTCTTGTCATAAAACAAACAATATAAAGCCATTGGGTGAAATGCTAATACACCTCAACATAGTCATCAATAAGCCGTAAAATCTCTCTTATTGTCTCCTTTAACCTGTTCTCATGCACTGGTTTTACCAATTTCTAATTAGTTTTTACTTATTGCCTCCACTAATTGCTTTTACTGTAGTGCACTTTTTCTAAATGATCGTTTTTTGTGTGTAATGTTGGATGACTCTGTTCTGATGTGTTTTTGCCAAGTGCTTTTGGCTGCTGCAAGCTGAATTTCCCCCAAGG